TAAGGTTGAAAAAAATCACAAAACTTATAAAGCTATTAGTGGCCATACCTGTCAGGCCATATATTTTTCTTAACCTTCAGAAACACTCCAAAGGACTGCATTTAGAAAATGGGGACCAAAAAGGGTTAAATAACCCGCCCCAAAGTTACTTTGCTAGTAAGTTGTGGCACTTGTAAGTAAGGTATATACACAGGTCAGTCCAAGCCACATGCTTTTTGACTAAAACTTTAAAAATACTAGGACTTACTTCTGAAGATTAGAATAATAGTACAGACAGGATTTCAAAAGCCTATGCTTTTATCTTCACTATTACCAGCTGCTAAAATATTCACTATTATTAGATATTTTGTTGAATCCATTAACCACCAAATCACTGAAGAGCAGAGAAGTCCCAGCAGAAATAAATGCAGCCTTGGAAAGTCCTCATAAGTGTGGCGGAATCTGCTCCATGCTGTCGGTCCCAAAGAAGTCCTCCTATTGCTGAGATATTTTGGTGTTCCAGCAATTCTCCAACATGCCTTTAAAACAGTAAGAGCCAGAGACTAGCAAGGCCATAAGGAAAGGGCACTCTGACCACAGCACGGTCAAACTTTCTATAGGCCATCTGTCAACATGTATTAAAAGTCATAATAATATGCATATCCTTTGACATAGCAAGTCCACAGGTAAGAATTTGTCCTAAGGAAGTAACTGGATAATGCCCAGACATGTATGAATAAGAACATTTGATAAATAAGATCAAATAACAGCAGAATGATCAAATTATCCAAGAAATATCATGGCATATTATGCACTCATTAAAACTGGTGATGCACCTGTAAATTTACTGCTCTGCTAAAATGCCCACAAAATACTGCATGTGTAAAAAGCAGGTTATAAAATATATGACTCTCTTTTTTCGAAAACTGTAAGAAAAAAATTTAAAGGCTACAAGAACAGATATCAAAATGTTAACAATAGTGATCTAACTGGTAGGATTATGTGTTTGACTAGAAAGTCAAAAAGAACTTTGCCTATCCTCTTTATTTTTTAAATTTTCTTCCATAATGCCCAATTTATGATTGGTAAAATAATGAAATGACACAATATCTTTAATTAAATCAATCCCTTAAAAATACCAAAGAGCTGGTGATCAAAATCAATCAGGACAGTTTTTCTTTCCCTAAAGTTTTCCTTTCGCTACCTTCAAGTTGTTTAAATTGTTCATAGGAAGATTAAGCTACAGAGAGTTCCCAGTTTTATCTCCTGTTTTCAGTTTTTTACAGAATGATATATATTCTTGGACTTGAAGGAAAGCTAACATTGAAGGTTTACCTTCTAGAATTTAAGCTCAGGTTCTTCAACAAGTAAAGAGAGAAAGAGTAAGGGCTGCATAAAACACCATTAGCAAAGCACAGAAAAGTTCTTACTATAATATACAAAGTGCACAAGATGAATCTTTGATGGATGAGGCAATATTTTTTACCAACGCCCATTACAAAAGTAGATTTCAAAGATAAGATCCAAAAGTAGCAGATATTTTTAAAGATCTGACTAAAGTAATTTCTAGATAAGGCAAGAAAATTTCTTCCAAGGCCATAATGGTGCTCTCCATACCTTAGACTCTCAATAAATATTTCTTGATTAGAAAATAAACAGCAGGCAAACACTCTTCATTTTCATTTTCCTTCCAATTGATATAGGCCTCAGTATGCCAAAAATACAAATCGTGTTTATAGGGAACAGGTGGTGCTCCAAAAATCCATTTGTAAACAGATGTATGGAATTCAGAACACATATTCCCATCAAAACAATATTATGATGGTGGGTAACTCCCAGCCTGGCCCATGAAGCCTATTTAGCAGTTAGTGAGAACTATCCCACACCTGTGTTTTAGGTGAATGGCACTAGTGGTCTAAGTGAAGAAATCCTTAATGTTAGGGGCGTAAGAGAGGCTCTCCTTCACTGGGAACCAAAGGCTCTCAGTTCAGTCCCTCTCCAGAGAGGCTCTCCAGCTAAGAGAACTCTCCAGGTCATACCTTCTTCCCAAAGGCAGCCCAGGTCCAAAGAACCAGTCAGTAGGGGAGAGAAGGTTTAAAGGCCCTGCCCCCATGCCTCCAGGTTAAATAACCCTGCAGGGCTATCCCAACTCCAGAGCTCCATTATAACTGCACCACAGTTCAACTCCTCCCCCTGCCCAAACTTGCTTCCCTCACTCCACTAGTAATGATGCCAAGAGCACCCCCAGTAAATAATTAGAAAATAATTATTGACTCCTGCAGGTAAATCTCCAACTCAGAGACTATTTTCAGGACCTAAGACAAACAGCTAACAGTAAGCTCATTTTATAACTCAGACACTGTTTATATATACACATACTTACATATATGTATATATAACTATGTAATATATATTACACTTATAAGTAAGTAGAGATAGATATTTTACTATAAACGTATAGGTAAGTACTATAGCCCCAATTTAAATATGCAGAAACTGAGGCTCAAAGAAGTCAAATGACTTGCTCTAGATCATATGGTAAGTAATTTGAGGAACCAGGATGTGAATCTAGGTCTACCCAATGCAAAGCCAATCACTATGTAAACTCTCCATCTCCTAAAAAGAGCTGTTGAATGAGTTAAAGCAGACTCAGCAGCCCAGGGGTTACAGTAGCAGTCAGGAATGAGTGGAGTGGTGAATCATGGTCATCCAGAAAACAGGAATTTATAAAAGGACCTGGGATCCAGGCCCACTGAAAACTGGATATTATGATCAAGGGTTCATATATTTTTAGCCCAAAGCAAAGGGGGAAAAAAGGAAGTCTAATGGAACCAGAATCCCAGAATGAAAACTACATGACTATAATCAACTGCATGCTTACTAGATCCTAAAAATAATGATTGGCAAATCTTGTCCACCTACAATCAAAATGCTACAATATGTGCAGACAGATGTTTACTATGTAGGAGGAGGATAGTGTGTCCACATCTTTTACTCCAACCCCTGCAAAAAGCTTCATAAACATACATAAACAGTATCTAAAAACGTACTAATAGCTCTGGCAGTGTGGCTCAGCTGGTTGGAACGTTGTCCAGTACACTGAAGAGTTGTGGGGTCTATTCCCAGTCAGGGCACATACCCAGATTGTAGGTTCAGTGCCCAGTAGGGGTGCATATGGGAGGCAACTGATTGATGTTTCTCTCTCACACTGATGTTTCCCTCTCTCTCTCTCTCTCTCCCCCACCCTTCCTCTTTCTGAAATCAATGAAAACATATCCTTGGGTAAGGATTAAAATAAATAAATAAAAATGTACTAATAAATTTCTTATTGGGCTACAAAGTCCTTACTATTAATATTCAACTTACCCAAGATGGACAACTACATCTGGTTCAGCTTCTTCAACTACAACCAGACCAAGCTTCCCCAAGCTTTCGCTGGGTAGTACTCTGCTTTCACAGAACAAGCAGTTATTGAAACCTACTGACAAACACGGAAAAACTAAGAACTAATAGTACCCTGGCGCGATGGCCACACTGCCCAAGAATTTACAAGACATGAAACCATTCTATAAACTCCAAACAACTACAAATAAATACTATTAACTTCAAGTGAAGTCATTAAGTTTGTATGCTTGTGATCTGCAGACTCCAACAGTGAGAACAAACCTTCTAAAGTTTCACGGCATGCAGATTTACAACATCCTTGGAAGAACTGTTTGAATCTACTATCACGGTTAAGTAAAATATTATAATATACTTAGAAATTCTATGATAGTCCCATTAACGTCATTTGAAAATTCAAAATAATTGAGCCTTATCAGCTGATTCTGAGAGTTGGTACATACCTATTGCCCCTTCCTTTAAAAATTCACCAACGCCACTTCTCCCATCCCTTCATCCTAACGCACAGCTTGAAGTGGCAAAAAGAAAAGCACCTGCCATTTCCTTACTTTGCACACAGGAGTTCTTCGAATGAAGGTGGACCATTCGCTGGGAATTCACACCATGCCAGCCTCATTGAGACTTCACCAAGAATTTGGCAACCATGAACTTCAGCTCACTGCTCTAATACACGTCAAGGCTGTAGCTTCTCTAACCCTGATGACGGCGACGTTTGGCCCATTTCTTCCCTTTTCCCCCTACTCAAGGAATAAAACAAGCTCCAAACCAGAAATAGGTAACTTCAGAACTGCTAAATATACCTGAGTCTAGCATTTCAGAGGAGAGTAACAGGGACTCAGTAACTAAATTAACGTTACCAAATGAGGCGACACCACCAGCCTGAGAAACAGATTTCCTCACACCACCGAGGGGTCTCCTCTTTTGCACTAAGGAGGGGAGGAGACAGCCAATGTGTAGCTTCCTTAGGGACAAAAGCAGCAGGCAAGCCACAACCACCCGCAGAGCAGGCCTGCAAGCTGCAGGAGGACCAGGATGCCCTCTCCATCACCGCCGCGCCCCTTCATACTTCACATGGTCCTGTGACGCTGCAAGTGCCGAATATTTTCTGAACGAATGAACGACTGCTATCACGTTCACCACTCTTCTTGAGGAACTTCGCTAAAGCTCTTACACATTTAACAAGCCTGTAAAACAAGCACCAGGGCCTGGGTGGGGAAAGGCCTCACAATAAGCCTATGAGGGAGGGAGGAGGCAATATACTCAGGATATTTCTTTTTTTCAATTTGAGGCTCAGAAAGACTGACCTTCCCAAGATGGCAAAGTTCTAACTGGCGGAGCCAGGAGTCGTGTCTTCCTCCCCCTCTGTCACAGCAGAACCAAAATGAAGTTTAGAGCTAGGAAAACAAAGGACAGGGAGAAGACAGTCTGGCCGAGCGCTGCGGGACGAACACCCGCACGGGCAGTGCCCTGGGAAACCCCCGTCCCGCACCGGGCCTGCCGCTGTCGCCCTGGGGGCTTCTCCGAGCGCGGCGCCCTGCGGGAGAAAGCGACCGCCTGACAGGCAGAGTGGACTCAAAGGCCCAACGCCACAGCTCACAGCCAGGAATAAAGATCTTCACCTCCGCCCACCACGAACCACCGACATTCCCTTCCCTGAGGAACCGGCGGACCCGAGGAATTCAGAGGAACTGTCCACGTCAGTCAAGCGCCTGGCCCTCCGGCGGATGCCTCGGCTCTGAGGTGACATCGGCGATGCCGGCGCACGGGCGCGACCTGCCCTGCGCTCCTCAAGGGGGCCTCCGGGCGCCACCGGAGACTGCCAGGCTTCCTTCTACACGCGAGGCGGAATTAAACAGAGGATGGTTTTTTCTAACTCCGGGCTGAGAACGGAAGTCAAGTTCAGATTCTCTTCCTTCCTCAAGCGAGCAACAGAATTAAAGGGCACCCCCACCCCCACCCGCACACACGCGCACACACACACACACGCGTGCACACACACGCACGCGCGCACACACGCCCTACAGTACAAATGTCGCTGGGGCCTCTTCACCTGTGGCAACCGACACGCCAGCCGGGATTTGCTGGCATTTAAGGCTCTTCACTCTGGGGGGAGCGCAGGGAAGAATGAGCCGGTGCCTAAGTTTTCAATCGGATCATTCTTCTCAACTTGGGCAGCTCTCCCTTCCTTCCTTCCTTCCTTCCCTCCCCCTCCCCCCGGGCGGGCGCACACTC